TTTTTACAGTTTGATCTATATTTAGAAAAATTAGTTCGTGGTTGAAAAAAACAAAAATATTGTTATTGATGTTTTTGTCATTTTTCACTCCGAATTGATATTTTTAAGTGTAAGATAAACTTAAAAATAACATTGATATTGTCCATTAGCATGTAGGCATGTGAAAATTCTGTTTTCCTTTCTGTAACTGCTTGCGTTAGGTTTTAATTTGTGCACAGCGATGCTGGTTTTGTGTTGTCTACTGTCTGGGGTGCTGATGTTTCTCTAGAACATTATCCGAATTACTACAATAATGTGTGTGATTATGCTACCAATGTAAACTAATAATAAAAGTTTCACCTCTTTTATATATTGAGAATTATCATAGTTTCAAAATTTTTATTGACTAATTAATTAGTCCGTATATTATATTTTAATACAAGGTTTATGTAAAAGAAATATTTGCATCACGAGTGTCATTGAAGAGAGCAATAGCCAGCACGTAGTTGGAAGGCTCGCTAACATTAAGAATCATGTGCACAACACAAATCTGTTGGTAAATGTTGGAATTTTTTTTTTGAACAGAAAATAATGATATTTATTGATATACAGAGTACAAGGGGTACCCCAAACCCTTAAACATCTATAGTTGAGAGACATAAATGTATAAGAGTGGACTAACTGCCCAATTGTGTCGACACCCACATAAAGTGTCGACACTATACCCGTGTCGAATTTATGTCCTCCTTTACAGATTTACATAGCTCCCTGTTTTGATCATCAAAAACATCCACTTTTCAAATCCACTGACACGCAGAATCGTTGAGCATGTATTTACTACAGCTTACCTAACACGCTACAGTAAAATACCTGCTCAATGAAGCCTTCATGCCCCAAACAAATTTCAGCTTGCACTCCGTTCTGCAGTATAACCTTCTTTTTGTTGTTTATAGAACAATTTCATTGCTTGTTTGTGGCTTCTCATTGATAGAGCACACGCTACAGGGTTATCCTTCCACTCATTAAATGAAAAGACACAACCATTTACCTTATTCTTGATCCATAAAAATGATTTAGCTTAAATCATATTTAGTAATCTTCCCCTAATGATAGCTTCATTATCAAATACCTTACCATTTCTCCAATACCATAAATACCATGATACAACAAGAAAGATACAAGCACCCATCTCCTTCCCTACTACCCTACCCAAATCGTATACAAAGATGTCTGCCACTCCTCGTACGATATTTGACATTACCGTCTTCATGTTCCACCACTGCAACACCTCTGTCCACAAACTCCATGCTTCCTTACACATACTAAATAAATGGTTAGCCTTCTCAATCATGTTATGGCACAAAACACACATTAATTCCTCTTCCTGTAAATGCACCCCTTGCTTTCTAATGTTCCACTTAGTTG